AAGCTGGACCGCCATCCAGCACCTGGAGAACCCGGAGCTGAGGTTTTTTTGGGGGAGATGCTGCAATTTTTTTTTTGGGAAAAAAATTTTGGAAAAGAAGCCGGGCCAGGGCCGTGGTAGCCTGATAGCACCGGGTAAAGCTCGCCCGTGAGCTTATTAGGGTGTAGTGCTGCACATTTGGAGAAAAAAAACGAAGTAAAGCTAGAGACATGGAAGCCGCTTGGTGCTGGTTACGGTGAGATATGTCAAGAGGTGAAACCCCGTGGCAAAACGTGAAACTCGATGGGGAAGAAGAAAATTAACGGAAAATCTAAAACTTGGGAACGCTGCGAAAATTGGTGAAGATACAGAAAACTGGTCAAAAAGGCTGAAAACTTGTGAAAATGCTGATAGGCGCTAATGGGGAATTGTTGAAGAAATGGTGTTGCATAGAAGCAATGATGACGGAAAATCTATGGTCAATGGCGAAGGGAAAAGGAATGGGTGAAAAAGCCAAATATGATGGTGGTGGTGGACAAGACGAGGAAGTCGTTGGAACGCGCGGTGGATAGGCGTATAAGAGGTATTCTTCGAGTTGGACAGAAGGCTGGTTATGATCGCCGGTGTTTCCGGGATTTTCGCACTTCATGGGCAAAGGAGGGGACGAGCCAGCGAATCGATAAATGAGCACCTCGTCCTTTTTGTCGTCTGCCTGATCGCTCGATAGGATCGACCGAGACTCCGTTCAACTGCCCTGTCGTTCCTTTGCAACCAACCAATCAGCCGATCAAGTCCTTTCCATTGCGGCAATGTCCAGGAAAGGCCAGCAATTCAAAATAAATTTTTGTCCTAGTCGATGTGAGAAATGAGCCCCAGCGACTTCCCACGCTTGTCTACCATTACAGTCTTTGACTTTTTACTCAGTTTTTATCCTTTCCACCGAATTTTTGCACGATTTTGTTACTTGGCTACCACAAATCCTTAAGTGCTACACTCTCGATTCTCAGCTTTTCACAAACTTTCGCCTTTGTTTCCTCAATTTCGACTTCTTCTTTGCTCGTTTTCAGCATTTCCGCCAGGTTCGCTTTTTTCACCAGTTTTCTGCTTTCCCATCATTTTTTTGGCTTTTCCATTGTTTTTTTTTCGTTTTTTACTGATTGTCAAGCTTGGCCAAGCGATCCTAATTGATGCTATGCTTCACCTGCTTTTCGGCAAATTTGGCTTTCTACACCAACTTTCAGCTTTTCCTCCATTGGAGAAGAAATTGGAGAAAGTTTAGCACTTTCTCCAAATAAAGCTCACGGCCCAGCTTCACCCGGATCCGGCATGCCCTCATGAGCTCGGGTAGCCTCTACAGGCTCTCAGCTTCATCCGTGCCAGGCGACATTAACGAACCAGCTTCACCGGACGCTTTTCCTGAGAGGATGCGCTGTACCGACAAAGCCCGGGTGCTGGCCCCTCGGTAACACCAAACTTCTCAGATGGGTGTTCAACGGAGAACCCCGTTCGCATCACCCACCTTAAAAAGGACTCCTCAAAGCCCTCTTACCATGTGCACCGTATATTTTAGCTAATTACCCACCTGGGGGGGGGGGGNGGGGGGGGGTCTTTCGGGGAGAGGGTGCAAAGAAAAAATGCTGTGGAAGGAGGAGGATGCAGAAGATCACGTTGTACTATTCGATCTACCTGTCGTCGAAGGGCACGTCAATTGACAGCGAGCTGCCAACAGCGTTCAGCAGCAATAGTCTTACATAGCGATATACTTTTGGTTTTTTTTTACTACTTTTCCGTTCCTTTCTTGCCCGGAATTCTGGCTAATTTTCTGTTATTTTTGCCATTTTTGCGGGTTTCAGTTTTTTTCAACATCACCATACGGCTTCCATGAGCCCCAAATTTGAGGCCTTCAGACTAGCTGAGTTGTACAAGATACGGTACCCATATAAAAGTTGATCTGGGGAAAGTGATGTTTCCAAAGTTGGAACTTGGTAAGAAAGGTGTAAAGTGACGAAGTAAAAGGGCCTTTAAAAGCCTTACGGCACCGGGTACAGGTGGGCCTTTGAAATCGCTTCACCATTTGCAAAGCCGCGTGGCAAAATCCAAAATTCGATGGTGAAACTGGTGAAAGATTATGAAAAAGCTGAAACTGATTGGAATGCCTAAAACTGGTTCGAAAGCTGTAATCTACCTGGGGAATTGACGAAGGAACTCAGGAGTTTTTGGAATGGAAATGGGCCCAATTAAAAAAAGCTCTTGGTCATCGCCTTTTGCCTTTATTCGTCTTTTCCACTTATTTGGCCACGCACATCACCATCGTTTTNGATTCCATTTGACTGAACAAATCCCCGACTGACGCTGGGCTAGGTACCACATTCGTCTGGGACCACAAAAAGGCTGACCTAAGCAATCGAAAATCGGGCAAGCCACGATGCGGGCCAAACTACGCTACTTCAGAAGCTACGCCGATCCCCAACAGTAGTTGCGTGCGTGGGCCAGTCCCTCAGAAAGAAAGGACCAATTCGATGAACTTCAATTTTACTGGAATTCTTAGTAACTACCATATCAGTCTGAACTGCCTAAACGCTCTCTTGAGTCTTTCTGCAAAAAAAAAAACAACTACGAAAAGAAGGCGATCCAAAAAATCAAGTAAAAAGTTTTATCGCAGTAAGCATGAATATCTTGGATGTGCTGCAAAATTCATAAAGGTGACAATTTATGTACAACATATGGCCATATACCCGTGAAAAACATTAGAGGTCGAAAAAAAAAACAAAAAAAGTAAATAATATTCGATTTCCAGAAAATTGGGACAAGACTAATAAAGCGAGCGAGAGTCATGGTGGACGGGATAAGATCAGCAGCGACTAGCGGGGATATCGGCGATTTAGACGACTTTGGATGGTCGCCAAGCATTTTGACCATGTGATGACATTGGTACATAATGTGATGGGGGATGTGGTGGAGGGGCGGTTGGTGGTTCGAGAAGTGGACGAGTTGCAGCGGCCGTAGTGGTGGTGGTCGTGGTTGGTTTCTGAGGGGCAGCTCGGCACATTCCACAACACAGAACACGATGCCATGACATCAACGTTTTCGGTGACAAAACCCACATGCCACATGATGCTCCCACAGCCAGCGACATCATCAGACTCAGATGATAGATCTCCGCCTGAAATGAGTTGATATTTCAAATTTGAACAGTAAAGTTGGAAGGGTGATGGTTAGGTAGGAGTTACAGGAGTTCGCTTAGCTTCTGCTTATCTGTTGTTGTTCCATTCATTCATTACATTTTTACTGGGTCATTTTTAATGCTATAGTGCATGCCGTTCGGCGAGACAGCTAGGTATGACCTGGTGTACTGCAAGACAACTAGCTAAGCTCGATCGCCCACTGTAAGCGGAACAAAAGTCCCACTGTTCTTATGACTCTCTGACTAACTCCGACTATTATGATAACCGACTTTTACCCACTCGATGCTGAACTAACTAGAAAAAATAAATGAGAAGTAATGATTGAGGGGTAGATTTTTATTTTGCAAACATGATATCCTACACGATGGGTTGAAGGTGGGGTAGAGCCCTACCTACATAGCACAAGTAAGGTCCGGGGAACGAGCCCAGCAATGTCAACTAAGTCTCTGATCCCTCTGGAGTCGATCGTCTGTTATCATGATCGTCTGAGAGAATTAAAAGTTCTTAATTATAAATTGGCTTGCTCCCAAAAGTCAAAATAAAAGCTAAGTGCGCATTCAGTTATGATTTTGGAAAGTCAAAGGCTGGGCGCATCCCATTAAACGGAACTGACGAACACCAAAAAAACCTATTGTTATCATTCATTTATGATTAATGTGGAATATGATCGAAGGTCTCCAATATAAACTAAATTAAAGGAAAAATAACGAAGTTGGGCGGAGTTTGTTAAGTGGGCGTGGCTCTCTGGCTAGCCTGGGGCTAAAAACCACATTTGTATCGGATTTTTCAGCAGAATCGTTCTCTATTCTTCGTGTTACTTATAATTTTTACTGCTTGATCTTTTTACCCATTTACTCACCTGTGGTAAATGTGGGCGATGGCAATGTCCACTTTCGACACCACCATTACTTTTGCATGCGATCGTTGTTGGATACCATCTTTTCACGTTGTTATAAGCATAGATATCACACAGAATCTGTGTTACAGCCGGAAAGATGTACAGTAGACAGAAAAGGCCCATTTTGAACATCAGCTTGTCGAGTTTTGACGTATCCGTTCCCTAAAGTATGATCGTCAAGTTTCACATTATTTCATTACATTCCTACAAAACATATCAAAATTTAAATTTGTTCATATAAGGGATAGAAAAACATTGAAGTCCGCAGATTTAGTGATATAGTAATCCAGACTGGTAGCTACAGTACCCACCACGGAATGAACCGGAAACCCATGCAGGAATGAAAATTCAACAGGTATTTATTTTCCTACAGTAACTTGGTCGTCGTGTCATACAGTTACCTGGTTGCCCTAGTCGTAAAATGACGAAAAGGTTCAAAAAAATTTACATTCATTAATTACATACTATTAGTATAAAGCATAAGTGAGATTACGGTAAGGATTCAGATTCCTGAAAGTTTTTGCCCTTGCCATTCCCGTCTATCTTCCATCATCTACCTTACCCATTACCTTCCCTCTTAGCCATAACTTCCCTTTACTGCACCATTTGAAAAAAAGTTATTTCCCAGATCCCATTTAGTTCATTTATGATCAAAGCACCATTTGGGGTTACTGTAACACTAAGTACGTAGACTATGAAATTTGATCCGTAAAATATGGCCATTTGACTAAAAGGACTTATCGTACTCGTCTTCTGAAGCTGTCACGTTCACGGCACATACTGGCGAAACCGGCGATAACAAAGCAGGTCCCGAAAAAGACGAACACCGAACGAGGTACCAACGAGAATGCCAGCAGAGCGGTAGGGTCGGTATTGCCTACCGAACAGATCCCGGACAGTTCCGATGCATCCACCTGAAAAAGGCTCAATCGTTCAATCTCCCATTCGGAAAACCAGATTGTCAAATTAGTAAATTCTACAGTCTACAGAACGGGCTAGAGTTAAAGTCCTGCGTAAGTGATAACCTTCTCAAAAGATTTTATTGACCCTGACAGTTCGGACAAGAACAAAAGTTCACAACGAAACTCGCCCCAGTTCTGGTTCATACAATTATTACGTAACTCATACAAGTAATTTTACGACATACGGAACTCATACAAGTCATTTTACGACATTTTACGACCAACAGAAGAGTATCTACGGTAGAAATTCTGTTCTGTGCTGAATCTTTGTTCTTAAAACCTTTTTTGGTAATGGCATTGAACGCTCCATAACAACCGCCTGGGCAGTCATGAACAAAATAGTAGGTGTAATAGCTGTATGACTACTGACAGTATTTTTCCGGAGCCACATCGCTCGAGTCTTGAAAGAAACTTGGTGGGTAATCCGCAAAAACCCCTTCTGGAAGCTTCCTCCTTTCCCTCTCTACTCTCTTGACAGCATTCCCTTTCCTATTACCAGCTTCAAAACCGAGAAGTCGTCCCTTCTAAAAAAGGCTTCATGGGGTTTCAGGGAGCAGAACCTCATAATGCTTACTCACTCATCCTGATTTAAGGAGGATTTAAATGGGCTTGGGAAAAAAATGAAGCTTACTCACCCTTTGCATAACAAGTACGACGATCGTCATCAATGCGGCAGTACCCCATGCTACCAAATGGAGATAACTCGAACAGGCGTCAATCCCTTCCGGTACCCATTTACGTGAAGCAGACAGATACCTGAAAAATAAACGTTTATTTGGGCATGACTAGAATTTCCTATCAGGGGTTCTGTTTCATCCGATAAGGTGAACGAAATGAAACGAAGCGCTGTTTGGTTTGAAAAATCGCTTTTTAGGGATGCGCCACGAATTTTGCCCACTCTCAGAACTGCCAATACTGTGACCCTCGCATTTCCGTGGATATTCCCCATGAACAGTTGTAAGTAATCGAATCTGAGAAGCCTTTTGATAAGTTTACCGGATCCTTCAAGGCACAGTTCAGGATAAGAATAAATCCGAAGATTTCACAGTGGCAGGAACAGCTTCATGGAAAGTCGAAGGGTGCAATAAGGACTCAAAAGCTGGTTCTGATGCCCTCTATCAGTCAATGTTTCCGAAACGGACGTGTTCACAACTTTATAGAGATTTTTGTCATTCAAAATGGAGCACGTTTGTGGCAAATGCAGCTGATATACGCAAGTAGTTAACCAGCTTGCTTTGAACCGCTGAAATCCCATCCAAACTCGAAACAGTCCTCATACTTTCAGATTTCTTGAAGTTTCGAGCTTTTTTTTGTACTATTATTGTTTTTTATTTAACTTCCTCCCTGTAAACCTGTAAAGGTACATTGCATCATCGTCAACCATATTTTTGAGTATCAAGTCTATAATCTGCCCTTGTGGTTGCGGCAGTGTTTCTTTCGCCCTTTTCGACAAACCGCTTCAAGTCTATTCGATAAGGGGAGATCCAGCGCCCGGGGCTAATTTCATTACGCGGAGCCAAATTCCATGAGCTACTCGAAGCCGAGCGCATTAGCCGAAAACGATCACACTAATGGCAAGAAACCTCATTCCATCAGAGCACCAAAATAGCCCTTCCAAATTTAGGCAATCTTTGGTCGCACCGAAGTAGTGCAGTGATTTTGGAGAAGTATTCGTATGTCTGCTATAAATACGGTTAATTCCCCATTTCTAACGCGGGTACTATACTTGCTGAAGTATAAACCCTGACATTTCAAACTCCATGACTTGTGGAGATCTTTGTAGATGCCTAGGACCCAAACAAATGTCGCACGGTTGAATGAAAGCCGCGAATGTACGGCTTATTCAAAAGGGCCAGAGCGAGGGATTGTGGGCGTTTTGCGTATCACCCGTTTGCTCTCCCCGTGAATTTGAATCAAGCCTTTCGACGTTTTTACTCTCAGCATGAGACACCCATCAATATTAATGTCTGGGAGGGATCCATTACCCTAGAGGGCATCGTATATAAATATTTTGGTAATGCCTTTATTGCATTGCACTTTGACGATAACGATTACGGTAAGTAAACTGGTCCCGAAAAGATTTTTCTGAGGAAAATGGATTACTCACCATGTAAACGCGAACATCAGCCACCAAAGGCAACTTGCTGTACCAAAGTAGTAGGTGAACACAAACGAGAATAGGCAATTGGTGTTTTCGAAGCCTGAAAAAGCCTTTTGAAAAAGATTTCTTCGGAAAAATCAAGAATTTGATACGACTAAGTTATATTAACTTTGACAAATTAAAAATATAATTAATCAAAATGAAATTGAGACAATGGAATTTGATCAATAAAGTTATCAAAAGTATTTGTGTGTAAAAATTTCTGCATATCCAATGAATATCGCAAAATGAAGAAATGATAATTAGTGATAACAGATAGTGTTAGACAATAATGGATGAAAGAAAGATAGAGTGAAGGTGATAGGAGGGTTCAATTTCGTTATGGGCCACCCAGTCTTCATAGTTCAAAAGGCAGAGGGGAAGCAAGGGAAAAAGTATTTCTACTACAGGAAGTAACTAATTTTAATCCCCGTGATAAGACTAGGAATTATCTTCGAGTGGTCTAGAGTATATGATAAAGGCTGGACACTTCTTATAGGTATTGAGTGATAAATGTGATAAGTTTTGGTAAAATGATGTAATGAAAGTGATTAACTTGAGTTCAAAATCCCAACACTATGGACTAAGTTAGTTGATTGCCCACTCTGATTGGAGCGGAAACGAACTTTCAGTTGAATTTTTCTAAATAACAGATAGTTGCTTCTGAAATGGTTACTCACCAGAAAATACCAAGTAACTCTGGCCGTTGATCAGTTTATCACAAGCTCTAGCCGAATATTGCATGATCAGAGGGAATAGGTACGGTATCGAGTAGAGCATGAAGCATAACGAAATGTAGAAGACACATCTGAAAAAGTTCCGATGAATCGTTACTTAGAGCAAATGAAGAGAGGAATCCTGATCGGCGCATTTTTTTGTGATTGAAGGGCAGATTGGGTAGGTTGAGGGACAAATGAGGCTGTTATGGAATGCACGATCAGAGGGTCGAAGTAAGGGTGAGATCGTGCCTAGCGTATCGAGCTTCCCATCCGCTAGCAGTTGATGAAAAGGAAAGTTGACTACTACTCTGTATGAGCCCGTGACTACATGTGAATGAAAAAGGGATCCGCTTTACTGTACTGCGATTTTGAGAAGAACCTGAATGCACGGCGCAATCTAGAAGTGCGACTGGCAAGCGGATTGAGTGAGTTGTACAGGTTTTTTGGTTCCAAACATAACCAAATATGTAGCTTCATTGCGAGCGTTTCAAAATTTTGATCAGATTACTGTCACAAATAACCTCGTTGCTAAGATATATCGATTTGATAAGCTACAATGAGACGGAGGTGGTGTAGTGGAAAGTGGCGCACTATGAAGCACGCATGGTCACGGATTCAAATCGAGGACAGATTTCCGCTTTGGCCAACCAGGCCTTCCATTCCTCGGAGTTGGTTAAATGGTATTAAACATGACGGGGAGGTTAAGAGTACTGACTTGTACATCGGTCGGCCACCACAAGTCATCGTAGGCCACGCTGTCATTCAGAACCGCCACGATTCTGGATGGAAGTCAAATGCAGGGCATATCTCTCAGACTGGATTGATTAACGCCCAAAGACTTTATATCTACGGTAGTAGAAAGAGATAGTAACAGCAAGTAGAGACTTTTTGATGTTTCCCGTTTGCTATAAAAGGGAAAACGCTAGCATTTGCATTGGACCGGAGCTCCCTCCAAGAATCTCACAAGATTGGATATTCCCAATACCTTCCTTATCTGGGAAGCTCCCAATTTAGATGAACTATCTTCTGAGTTCAGTTTCACGAGACGGATAGAAATTGCAGATATGGCCCCAGTTCTTTGTAACGCAACCCTGAGCCAGTCGAGCCCTCCATCTCTCAGTTAATTGGTACCAGACACATCTGGAAAGAATAAAAACTCGGACTTGTTTATCGTCTGCCCTCTGGAAGTCAGCGTATGGGCCATACAACGCCACTTTTTGTCGATTCCTTCCGTATTTCAAATCGAAATCCAATGCTTGGCCAAATGACCCCGCACTTTTACCCTTTTACATGTAAGTCCAAAGTGCCGAATTCTCGGAAAGGTTTTCAACGAATTCTTCACACAGCAGCAGCATTATGAATTGCAAATGTGAACCAGTTCTGTACGCAGTCAGCGTGATGATCGCAGTATTCATTAAACATGGAATAAATACAATTTCAATACCAATCATGACAGAATCCGGTTGGTTAGTTGAAGGGAATGTGCCAAACGCCTGAATGGGAACCTTGTTCTTACCTCCACACCATTCCACGGCGTACTGGTAATCTCCGCCCAAGCTTTTTTACAAGGTCAGATACTATGGGAAGGTCGAGTACTACCTTATCGACCCCTAATCAAGTCCAGGAGGATCAGACCTTGGTACTACCAAAACTTTCTCGTGGACGGTCTGAAATGAAGAAAAATGGATACAGATGATCCTATACCGTAGGGCAGTGCCTATAGTACCGAGTTTTTTGAGACGGAGAGTACAGCATTACCTTCATGGCCTCACTTTAGAGTATTTCTGGAAACTTCAGAGCCTCAATTCTGACGTCATGGCCAAATTTCTATCCCTTCGAAAGACATACAATCATTCAGAGACTTCTTCGCTTGACTTCAACGCTCTTATTTATCTCCTAGGGAGTTGGGAACCGTAAAGAGGTGTAATGGGAGCTGTTTTTCAATCCAATTCAAACGATTCCTATTGGTTTCACTTCTGAATTTGGTTACTTTCAGGAATTTGCCTTCGCCTTTGCCATTCCACAAATCGGGTGGGTATCCCAGCAAACATTTGCTTTTGCTTCTTGCGGGTGAATGATCATGAAGAACCTCATAAAACGAGTGGCTTTAGATTCCTCGTACTCGTAAAGTAGCGATGAATGAGGACTATTTGTGTAGATCCATGGAAATTGCTCCGATCATTACTGCAGGGTAAACAAAAGTCAGAAACCAAAGATTCCTAGGTTCTCCAGCGGTAAATGGGAGCAATTATCGAGGGCTACTGTAAAAGCTTCACTTGGAAGTACTGTGGTACCGAACAAGTACCCCCAATTTGACCTTTCATTGCTGGATTTACTGCCTGGGACCATTTTCTTTCATATTCCCTCTTCTTAGCGAATCGGGCATTGCTTAGGTTTTCGGAAAGATAGAAGATTTGAATGATTTGCGCCATAATAAAACCAGATATCGTTGAGTGAACTACAGTAAGCGGACAGGATGGATGTAGTTTGTAACCCTCTAACTTCTTTAGTAGGATTACTGTAGGCCAGACATTTCCTACAGTACCCAAAAATCAACATAAACTGAATACTTTCGGCCACTTAAGCAATTCTTTCACACACCATTCAGGTGAATTTTCAGATGTATTCCGGCCGGCAAAACGTTTCCGTTAATCTCATCTTGGAATGCGCCAAGTTTTTATTTTGGAATCAGAATCGCAGTGGCGTTTGCAAGCGTGCCTGACCTATACATACGCGATTAAGCCAATAAACAATTCTTTGTTTTACACTTACAACAACTCCGCAAGGATTGGTGGCTTGATAGTAGCAACATGCCATTCGTCGCCCTCAGGCCAGTCGGCCAGTCTTGGATTTACTTATGAAGTACCTCAGAAAAGAGCCCTTGAAGATTTTCTCAAAGGGGGGGAGGTGGGTGGAGCTTTCTTGCTCATTCTT